CTGCAGAAGTCGCAAAGACAGCAGTGGAGATGAAGCTTAGCATTTCAAAACACACAAGAACTAGAATTGTTCAGCTTCTGTCAGAGAACTCAGTGCTGTGTACAGCTCCTGTATGGGCATAGGCTGAGAAGACGAGGTTGAAACTCCCCTTGGAAAGGTACAGTGAAACACCATGGTTCCAGCTGTAATGAGAAAAATGTCGATTGACTGTAGGAAAAGTTTTCTTTCTGAAGATGGTCAAGCACCAGCACACAGTCCTGAAGAGGGCGTGAAACCCTAATTTCATTAATGCAGGCATTAGCACTTCTTTTGCGTGTATAGAACAAGAGCAAACAAACTACAGATATCTACAATGATCCCTAAGATCCCATGGCTGTAGCCTGGGTCTGTATGAAACACTTTCCAAGAAAAAACCTGACTTTTGTATGTACAAGGCGCTTTCTAAATCGTTGGTTATGTCAGCAGCTCCTTTGCAGGCATGAAGTTCTGCCTGATTTCAGCAGGACTGCCCTTGTTCCTCTGTGCTCCACATTCCCATGTACTGTTACATATTCTGACTCTCACATGTTCCACCAAAAATCTTGGTTTTTATGTATCTTCCTAATTTTTCACATCTTGTGTGTGTGTGTGTGTGTGTGTGTGTGTGTGCACGAGTGTGTGTGAATACTCTGTATTCCTTTTATTCAGAAGAAAAATAAAGAATATGAGAAACTAGTGTGAATTTGGTTGAATGCAGGTAAGCCTTACGGCCAATGGAAGCAAGTGTGCAAACTCTGGAAGAGCGCGAGCACTCTGCTTTGATTTCCACAAATGAGACCTTTCAGGGCACAAAATTCGAACTGAAAAACAGAAAGTGGCAAACATACGCCGAATACCATTTGCCCCCATATTTTTGTATCAGGTAAGTGTTTTGCTCAGCCCATGACCCTGAAGCCCACCCCACGCCGACGTTGCTGAAATTCCACGAATTAAATCGGTTTTCCCACCGGGGCCCCGGAGGGAGGCAGCAGCTCCCAGGGCAGCGGCTCTCCCGCTCCGGGGCTCACGCAGCTGCTGCCGGCACTGCCTGCCCGAGAGCCCCGCTGCCCGAGGGTCGCTCCGGCNGATAAAATGTGACCGGCCGCGGAGACAACACCTTCCCGACTCCCTGCCTGGGCGGACCTCCCGTCGTTTCTGCAACTTGTGCCGCTGGGTTTTCTTTGTCTAGGGTGTGGTGGTGGCATCTTTGAGTGTTACTGTAGTGCCACGGTACTAAGCCGATCTTCAGCCTTGCTTATTAACACCTTGCGGAGTTCGAGGTTTGTAGGCTGCGTTGACTAGCGGAACAAAGTTTCTATACTGTCTGTGCTTCGACAAGTGCTTTGTAGACCCCATACAGACAGGGTCAGCCTGGCAGCACTGCACAAGGATATGGTTCCTGTACGGAAAGGAAAGACTTAACCGGTCACACCCAAGCGTCCACAAAACAGGTGCATAAATCAAGGGACAAGGAGGGAGTGGCTTTGGCTGTTAGGTCACATTTTATCCTCAGACTTTGTATGTGGAATTGGAGGAGAGTGGCTACCCTGGGGAATTTGTTTTTATTGACAGAAACATAAATGCCTCAGGGGGAGGGGACAGGTAATTTCTGTTTACCCCCAGTCCCACCATTGTGGCCGGCTGGATCACAGTGACTGCCCATGCACAGTTCTTTGATAACTCCTCTGGGGTGTTGTGGGTTAACTCCAGCAGGCATCTAAGTGCAACACAGCTGCCTGCTTATTCACCTTCCTTGACCAGTGGGACAGGGAAAGAGGAACATTAAAACCAAGAAAATTCATGGATTGAGATAAAAATAAATTTAACAGGAGAAGGATACGTGGAAGGAAGAGAAAAGGAACAGAAGTGGTGCAAAAGCGACATTCACCAGACAGTTCCTGAGCAAAAGGCAGCTAACCCACCTCAACACCCTGCTTCCAGTTTGCTGAACGTGATGGTGGCTGCTATGGATTACCTCTCTGATTAGCAGGGGTCATCTCCTGCTTGTGTCCCCTCCTAGTCTTATGTGCACTCACAGTATAGCCACGTCTGAAACACAGCACCACACAAGCTGCCATGAGGAAAATTAACTCCATCCCAGCTACAGACAGCCCAGAGGTTCTTCCCTAAGATTTTTTTCCTTCATCCCAGTATAGCTGTCCACCAAATATCCTCAGGAAGCTTTGCATACTTGCCAATACTCCTGCTTGTGCTTTTTTTTACTTGCTTGCTAAGGCCTGCATGCTGTGGTGCTAAGCTTGGGAGACTTAAAATACTGTAACACAGAGGTTTGATGTTCAGAAGCTTCCCCTCTCCTCTCCTCCTCTCTCAGCTCTCCTTTCCTCTTTCCTTTCCTTTTTTCCCACTTCCCAACCTTCTCTCTCTTTTTTTTTTTTTTTTTTTTTTTTTTTCCCCTCTACAATTTCAGACAGTTCCTTCCCACTCCTTGTGTGATATTTTGGAGCAGTGTTACTAGGAGGTTACCTACAGAAAACACCAGGAAGGAACAGTTCCTACAGATCTTTCTGCTTGGAAGTCCACACAGATTGTGAGCTGGTGCACAGGTCGTGATAAACTCCTGGAGCATTTTATTGCAGTTCATGTTGGAGAGCATTAATTACAAGGGCAGAGGGCCGTGCACTAGGCTGCCACAAGCAGCAGCAGCAGCAGCAGCTGCAGCAGCAGAGAGGTAAAACCATTCAAGATGTCTGAGCAATGCAGAGCACTGCTGGTGTGCTCTCCTCCAAAGAATCCCTCTTGCAGGTGGGAACTCACTGCAGTGTTTGCGCTCCCTCCACTGCAGGGTGGCAGCGTGTGGATGATGCAGGTATTGTGCACCTGATCTGAGGCAAAGTAAAGCGCACAAATCTACAGACTGCTGCTTCCCTGGGGGTCCGATGGGCACAGGGAAGTACGTGCTGTTGATAGAGACTTGTCTCTGCTGAATCGGGAAGTGAGCGGTGTAGAAACTTGTGACCCTCTGTCCCTAGGAGATATCTGCTGACATCTACTGGCTTAGGGCCGCAGAGATTATAGGCACAAACTGTCTAAAGTCTGTCTATAGTTTTAGCCCAAGAGATGGCATTTTGACTAGTGATTTTGTTTGCTGTGAGCAGTTATTCAGTACAGCCCTTGTGGTGTGACATCAGCCAGGCAGCACTTCTTCCACTGAAAATCTTCCACAGCTCTTTCAGCAAATCCTAGCTGTGAGTGCTGAGAAGAGATGAGAACCATTGTGTGAGGTCCATCAGCTGCTTCATCCCTGGATCAGAGATTGTTTAAAATCATTGAAAAGGATGCTCCCTGTGTTCCTGAATGCAGCACACAGGATCAGCATTCTTTGCACTTGATAAGAGTCCTGTGAGCCTGACTGGAGCTCGGAGTGCCATCTCAGAAATCCTTGCTTTTACAGTGTTTTCACTTGAATGAGTTAAAGCATCCAGACAGTCCCTAAGGGAGGTTTTTTTTGGAGTCGACTCCTCAGGGTGAAAGACGTGTTGCTGGCACAGTCTTCAATTGGTAGGAAGCAGGTCTTTCATGTGCCTCTGTAAAGAAAGTAATGCTTAACCAGAAATGCTTGGGATTGGCCCAAGTGTTTGCATATGGTCATGGTGAGTACACAAAGTAAGCTGTGTTACTAGCAAAAAAAGAAGATTGGGTTTTTCTCTGTGATCTTTGTCAGTCTTTGAGGAAGGAAATGAGGTCTAGGCTGCAAAATAAACTAAGGAAGGCTGATATCTGGTAGAAGTCCTGAATCCTCTAGTGGTGTAGAACTCTTCAATGACAAGACTGGAAAACCGTGGCTGGAATAAATACCATGGGTGTCTTGCTCTGTGCAAGAACATTTACTTGCTTGCATGTATGTATCTGTGTCAATGGCCTTCCAGATGCAGACTCTCTGGCTTTTTGGTGGGAGCTCATTTTCTTCTGACTGTCATACTCAAACAACAGAGTGCATGTGTTTTCTAAGGAGACACGTCAGAAATACAAACAGTTGCTTGTGAAGAAACACTTCATGCTCTGTTTGTCCATGCTGCAGAGTATAAATGCTGTGCTGCCCTGAGGCTGTTGCAGTGAACTGGTACATGTGCATGCAGGTGTTCTTGACTGGGTCTCAGCTACAGAAGAGGACAGTGATAGCAGCTACAGCTGGCACTACATCTGGTATTTACTGGTTTTAGCACCAGTGCACTGAGAGTGTGGGGCAGCATTGACTGTATTCTTCACGTTACTAATGACAAAAATGCTCTAGCAGGCACACCAAGACTGTTCCATCTGTTGGGCAGAGGGCAGCCAATTTCAGAGGGCTGCAGATGAGAAACTGGGGCAAGACATAAGCAGAGTATTGATTATGCAGTGCTGGGCACACCACAAGTGTCACAGATACTGTGATTGATTACCAGCCATCCTGACAGAGCATTAATTACTATTAATCAGCTAATAATCTGATATTAGCTGCTGCAGACATTCAGACCACAGCACCACAGTGGTGATAGTGGGGTATCTGATTGGTCTTTTATACACTGGGAAGCATCCTGAACATTCACTGGATTTTGATTCTAAGTGGAGCCTTCCACTTACATTCTAAATAAAAGTACTTGGCTGCCCTTCAGCTGCTGAATGCAGTAGCACATAATCTTGAAATACACAGCACCATAGATGTAAAGATGAAAATGCTTTTTTCACTTTGGGTTTCCCTGTGCCTTAAGAAAGTGGTGCTAATTTTCACAGTTGTGCAAACCTTACCAGTATAACCACCAGGTGACATGCTGAAATCCCTATGGTTCATCACTATGCACTGAATAAGCCTCATAAAAGGCCATTCATTTAAGAGTTGTACCTTCCAATTCAGAATATTCTATGATTCTGAAACGGAGTATTTCCATACCCCCCCTACATGGAATCAAGCTGGATAGTTGCTTCTGTTTTTTACAGATGTTGTTAGGAAACAATGTTATATTTTCGTTTCATTGTTGTATAGGAATGCATGGCATTGTGCTTGAAGAATCTAGAAGAGAGAAAAGAGCAAGAAGCTGGTAACAGAAGGAGAATACAGCAGGCCATAAATGATGCGAAGGTAAAGCGTGGTTTCATTCTCCACTGGATTGTCATTTACCAAGGGAAAATTCCAAGGGATTTTGTTTTCTCTGTAGCTGTTCAAAGACCCAGCCACTTACTGCTTCTCAGAAGAGTATATCCATCACAATGTATTACACTATCAAACAGAGGGAAGAGGGAGAGTTTCCAAAGACCTGGTCCTTATTACTTGATCAGATGAACATCTCTGGAAGACCAAGGGTGAAATTTTTATGCAGAGGAATAGTAGGAAGCCCCAGCTGCCTATGTTATTCTACCTTCACTTACATATTTTGCATTGGACAGAACAGCAATATTGAATTTTCTGGATTCAGAGTTGAGTAAACACAAGAAAGGTTCGGTTGATTCTGTCCTAAGAATGGGAATGTATGCTAAGCTACACCTCATTTATAGAGCATGAAATGGCTTCTGCTCTAAGGAGCATCTCTAAGCAGTTCTGTTACAGAAATGTCAGTAAGAGCTTGAGGGGGCTTTAGAGACTTGGTTGGATGCCACTTCGTTTTTGCCATTTTTTCTTCCTACCAGCTACTTGTCTCTAGCTTGCTTTAAAAGCAGTCAAAGTCTTGCTACTGAAGGACAACATCTGCTTCTTGTTGCAATTGGTACTCTGTTAATTCCAGCTAAAAACAGATTTTTCTACATAAATAGGCATCTTGGAATCCTCCCTCCATCTTTTCCATCCAGACATCAGCAGGTAGATAATGCCTGCCTTGCCTTAAGCAGTAGAGACACATTTCTGAAGAGATGGAGAAAATCAGTAAAATTCAACCAAAACATAGTATTGAAAGAGAAATATCTGAAGTGTTTATGGTCTGTTGAGCAAGGGAGAGATGTTGTTCTGCTTATCCACAGGCACATGCTGATATCATCAAACGGCAGCTGTCAGAAAAAATTACTGAGCTTCAGATACTTCTTCGGGAAGAAGAGAGTCTGGCAAAAAACTTCATTGATGAAAAGACTCAGCAAGGCCTGGGAGCACATGATCAGCATTTGAGGTCCTGTGATCAACAGCTTGCAGCCCTGGAGACCTTCACACATCGAATCAAACAAATACAGCAGGACAGTGATCCTATTAATTTGCTGGAGGTGGTATTGTATGGTGTTCTACCTCTTACCCTGACAGTCCTTGATAAATTTCTCTAGTGATATGTTCTGTAGATCCTTCTGTATGTAAGTAGCATCTTCCTTACTGCTTTGTAATTTGCTTTGTGTTGGTGTTTCGGTGAATAGGTTTGGTTGCTGATTTTTGAGCTATTAGGTGTTCCTGCTATGGCATTGATTTCAGGTCTGTATGAAATTCATGTTAATTTTAAGCATAGATGGAAGAGACAGATACATGTGTCTTAATCTTGATGTAGATTAAAATATCTGCTGTATCACGTCTCTCCTTGTCCAATGTAATATGAAGACCTGAGAAAAGGCAGCCCTCAGGAAACCTCAGGAGGGAAGTTAAAATGTGTGATTTCCTTAATTTCAAGAAATCCTTATCAGCATAAGCAATAGCCATCACTTCACTGGAGGGGGCAATGATTTTCTTTTTGCCTACAGATAAACATCAGTTTCTCTCTCCTAATGATCTCCACTTTCCTTGGGAAGAGTGTGTTGCCATGTACTTATGCCCTGACACAAGCCAAAAGATGCCATTTCTTACAGGATGGTGCCTCTGGTGTATTTTTGCATCCTTGCAATGTGTCAGACTTGGGTTTCCACTGCTGTGTTATGGCCCTGGCATTCTGCTGTGTGTGCTAGCAGCACACCTCCACACAGGAGCTGCTCTTTGTGATTTTGTGGAGATTTTTTTGTGGGGAGGTTGGATTTTATTCTAAAAAATTGCATTTAAAACTTAACGGTTTGATTTTGTCATTGATGAGATTTCCCATGGAGGGTCCTGGCCAGGCTAAACTCATTTCCATCCGGGAGGGATCTCTTTTAGCCATGGCTGTTGGATTCTCCATGTCAGGGTTGGCCACAGGGTTGGCAGGAGGAGGTAATGGGCAGGCTAATGAGCTAAAAGGCAGGCTGAGCTTAGCAAAGCTTGCCTGTTATGGCCCATAGGTTTACCTGGTGATGGAGCTGTCCTTGCTCTGTGGTCCTCTTGTGGGAGGGAAGAGTCCTTTCATGTCAGTCTCTGCTAATTGTAGCGTTTGGCTTTCTGCCCTCAGAAGTACACAGAAATTGAGAAGGAAATGAAGGCATCCAGGCACCTGTTAGAAGAGTGGAATCCAGTACCTCTCTCGTTTGAGCACTTACTTAATCATTATAAACACTTCATCAGAGTTCTTCAGTCCATTCTACAAAAACCATTGGAAGCCCGGCTTAAAGAAGGTACCTGGGAGAGTGCTCTGAATTTTGCTTTCTTCTGTTCTCTTTACAAATAAAATGTACTTCTAAAGTAAGAACAGGACTTTTAACCAAATCATCTGGAGAAACAACAGTGTTTCAGGCATGGATACTGTTTTCGGACAGCATGGCTGTAATGCTGCTATAGCAGTGGTAATTTAGGAATGTTTCTCTCCCAACTCTGAAAATGATCTTTGGTTTGCCTGCTGCTTTCCCCTTTCCTCCCCTCCCAGTTCTCTCAGGTATTTCAATGAAATTTAATGTAGTCCATCACACATACAGAATGTATCTGTTCTCTCAGTTACTTACAATTTGGTATAAGTACTCTGGCATTGGGCTACCTTTAAAATTTGAAAGCTTTTTCTAATGATGCCCTTGGTGATCTACCTCAGTCTGGAAAAAAAACAAACAAAAAACCCAGATTATTTTTGGTACTGTAAAGCTGAGCTAACGTGTTCTATTTAGAAATCCCATTGTCTTTGAGTTGTTGTTTCATCCTTAAATGACCTTTGGCATGATTAAGTAAGTTTTTCTTGATGGGACACAGAGCCACAAAGCTAAATAACCATGGGAAAATCCTGCTGCTCTTTGAGTGAGCAGGCAACACTGGCCATCACATTTCACCCAGCTGCCTTTTAATCCCTTACTGGGAAATTGCCACTGAAAAGACAGTACAGGTTGCTGGGACAAATAGCCAGACCTGATCTGAAAGGCTGCTGCAGGATGTGTGTAGGACTGCTGGGAAGCATAGTGGAGGTGCCCTGCAGCAAGCACCAGCAGCTGCTTTCAGCTGCCTGATTATTTTCATCTGATAAGGGCTACTTTTTAAGAAATCAGGTGATTACTTGGTGTTGTGTTCAATTGTGTATTTCTTTGGTAACACTAGACCAGCATCTCCATGCTATCCAAAGGGCGTAACGCTGAAAGCATACAGAGTGAGTAAAAGGAAAAGTAACACAGTTTGTCCATGAAGTAGGAAAATGATAGTTGAAAACCAGGCAGATTCCCTGACTGATCCTTTTCATCTTTGCCCAGACGTTTTCAGTAGCCTTAATCCCACTGCAATGAAGGAGCCTGGGACAGTGCTGAAAACCATGACTCCTGTCGATCGGTTGCTTTTCTTAAAACGTAAGTATGATTATACTGGAGTCCTAGAATCTCCTGAGCTGAAATGGACCCACAAAAATCACTAGGGTCCAACTCCTGGGCCTGCACAGGACCATGTGTCTAAGAGCGTTGATTAGGGATGTGTGGAGGCATCAGTGCTGGTGCCCTGCTGTGATTCCCTTGGCACGCTTTTTGCAGTCCCAATGTCTCCGGAGCTGTAGGCTCTGTGGCTCTCTGAATTCTGACCTTAACACAAATGGCAGCTTGGTGCTCAGGTGCCCATCACATTGGTGGCCTCGGTTAGAAAGGTGTGGGGACAGCAGTGTTGGTTCACTGCTTTATGCACTTGGCATACATTTTCCAGCCCCAGTATTCCTGGAGCTGTAGGCTCTGTGGCTAGCTGGACCCCATCCCTACCTAAGTACAGTCAGCAATGCTGGGGCCCTGCCTTGCTCAGACTGGAATTCCTTTTGCAGACCCAGTGTCCCAGACCTGTGGGCTTTCTGGCTGAGCCCTAACCTTAAGCATAAAGCAACCTTTTGTGCTGTGGCTGAGGTCCCCATCACAAAGGTGTGGAGGCAGCAATGGTAGCACCCTGTTGTGATACCCTTGGCATGCCTTTCCCCCAGCCTGTGTTCCTGGGACTGCAGGCTTTCTGGCTGTCCCAAGACACTGCCAACTGTGGGCTCCTTTGCAAGCATTTTGTAACTTGGACTTCTTCCAAGGATCATGAGCAATGTAGCAAGTATGTTTATGGCTTTAACTGCAGATGCAAGATCACCAACCTGGGAATATGACAGCATTCACCCAAGACTGAAATTGTCTGATGACCGTCTTGAAGTAAGCTGTAGCTGGAGGAGAATATTTTACCCCTGTAGTCCCCAGAGATTTGATAAATTATGGCAAGTGCTAAGCAGAGACGCATTCCTTTCTGGGAGCCATTACTGGGAAGTTGACCTGCTTCATGCTGGAGCAGGATGGTGGATTGGCGCAGCCTACCCTACCATTGGCAGGAAAGGAGACTCTGAAGCCTGTCGACTGGGCTGGAATAGAGCATCTTGGTGCCTTAAGAAGTTTGATGTTGAGTACTGGGCATTTCACAAGGGAGAGAGAATCCCCATCCTGATACAAGATGATCCTGATCGCATTGGCATTTTTCTAAATTATGAAGCAGGAATTCTTTCATTCTACAATGTTAGTGATGGCATGGCTCATTTGCACACCTTCCACTGCAAGTTCTCAGAACCAGTTTATCCAGCCCTGAGACTCTGGGAAGGGTCCATTAGAACATGCAAACTAACGTAAGAAACAAAGTGAAATAAAGCCTATTTCATGCTTTTTCTGTTAGTGCCACTTCAGCAATTATCTACATGAATTTTTCTCTGTTGTATCAAAGTTGTAATTTGTATCAAAGTTGTAATTTTGATGCTTTAAGAAGATAACGTAAGTTCAGGAAAAACACCTGTGATTTTTAATGGGGTTCTTTTTTTCCAATGAGGGAAGGTGATCTGACTTTTATAAATGATGTTGATGTGCCACTCGAAGTACTGTACGTACTATTACTGTACTTTTTCCAAGTACTATTACTGTACTTTTTCCAACTTGTAACAGTAAGTTCAAGAAAAACAACTGTATTTTTTAATGTGTATGTATTTTTCAATGGGGGAAGATGATTTGCCTTATAAATGGTGTTGCTGTACCACCTGAAGTGCTGTACGTAGTATTTTTTGACTTGCAAAATGGAAGAAGTCAGGTTGAAAGAAACATATTACAACTTAGTCTGGAACCTGGATATTGACTTTTTGAATTTTTTTTAAATGAACTTATTCTCCTCATTGGCCTGGAGAGACTGCAGTTGTGTATGGCAAGAGGTTTAGTTTGGTTCAAGCTTTGAGATTATATACTGCATATTGTTATCATTGACCAAGGCCAAATTTGGATAATAAATGCATTAAGTGCATTAGCTCGTATTTCAGTGTCATCTTGGAAAGATCAAAGACTCTTGGAAAGATCTCTTCTGAAGCTAGAGCTTCTGTGGCCACATTTAATAGTCAGCAGCTGGTCTTGTATGTGACAGAAACTCTGGACTTCTGGGTGACCCAGTTCTTCCCCCTGAGTGGAAGCATGAGAAAAAGCTGTGTACAGAGGATGAGAGCTCCTAACAGAGGATGAAATGCAAGGCTCACAGGTGCAATAAAATTACCAGGCTAGAGGTGCATTTGTGGCCTGTTATCCTTGTGTCCAATTTGGAACATTCGCATAAAACTAGGAGACACAGCTTGCAAGTTTCTGTATATGGATATTTCTCCCCCCACCAATACATTAATTAAAATCCTGGGAATTTCTGGAGTCTTTGCTTACAGCAGGACCAGCCCAGTTAAGAGTGAAAAACCACTGCTACTTGAAACTGGTTGGGTAATCTTACAGTGTTCAAATACTAAAGGCCCTGCATCACCAGTGCTGGCAAGGGCAAGGTCTGACCACAGGCTGAGATGCATAAACAAGACCTTGTTTTATAAGATAAATTTATTTTTCAAATTTGAAATAAAAAAAACCAAAACAAGCATCTTTTAACAATTGAGTAGTTTTTTAATGTAAGGCAAGTATACTGCATCAGTCACAGCTCACATATGGTCAAGTATATATATGACTCAACCTCTGTTTCCCTATTTAAAGATATGAATACAGTTTCCTACCTCTGTTTCCCCATTTAAAGATATGAATACAGTTTCCTCAAAATTGCACAAGGGTAAACATTTTTAAAGTAAACAGTTTATGTTTAAACAGGTTTAAACAAAACCACTCACCACCACATTCAAGATACTTCACCAACTCATGACCTAAAAGTAGCAAGTTCCAAGTAACCATCACTAGTAAATGATTCCATCACATAAAAAAAGCAGATGAATTATTGCAAAGCAGTGCTGTGCTAAGCAATGTAATTGAAGAATGACTGGTTTGCAGCTGCTGTTATATGGCTCCTTTCTGATCAAAGGGAAAAGCAGCAGCCAATAGGAGTGGGATTGCATTTCTCACTTGAAAAGTGAGAAGCTGGGAAGCAAGAGCACAGCACACAAAAGGTGTACCGACCATCATGCTGAAGCATAATGGTGTGGTGTAGTCAGGCAGTCAGCCTCAGCCATCTCACACGCCAGTGTTGAGAGAAAAACCCCAATGTGGAAGATTTGCTGGTTAGTACAGGAAAAAAAAAGCAGCTCAAGCTTCACCAGCATTTGGCTTCCTACCTGAGAACTTGCCACCCAGGTTCAAACAGAGGCATCCAAATGCTCTGCAGAATAGACTTAATATTCCAGACTTCACTCAACTAACAACAGATGCTTTTCACAAGCACAGGTTAAGCTTATTTCTACTGATTCATTTCACATCAACTTTTCTTCCTTGCTCCATCTCTTTGGCTTGCCTTTTGTGCCCTTCAGTTTATAAAAGGCTCTCTTGCCCCTTAAATGGAATCTTTCTAAATATTCCATATGCTTCTGTTCCTTGTACTGTCTCTTGAGAACCTAGCTTTCTCAAGAAGCCCATTTCCCCACAGAATACAGATTCCTGCAACCCACTGCTTCATCATGGCTTTCATCTTAAAAAAAAAAAATATCCATCCACATTGCATTTCTAGTTTTCTGTTCAATGTATGTAAACTTCCACTCATCTGTGTTCAACCAGAGTCCTGCTATCACAGGGGTGAGGCAAATGGCAGAAAAGAGAGGAATATCGAAAGATACATGGCTAGAACAATTCAAAGTGTAGACAAAATTCTCACGATTTACTGTATTCTTAACAGAAAAGGGCAGCTGGAAAGCAGCAGACTGTGACCTTATATTTGGCAATACTCCAAATTAATCTAGGTTAAGTGGAATGGAGAAGAGAGGATCATGGCATTTCCTAGGCACAATGCTATACAGTTTCTAATAAAATCTTCATAATTTATATCCCCTTGCTTCTGAAACTTACTGCTAATAAGAACCTGAAAATTCTAACTTGTTTGCACCCTCATAATTACACCCCTTTCTTCTAATCTACCATGCTGCTATTCTCAAACACACTGTGTAGTAGTGCATTGAGAAATATGAAATGGACTGCTTTGGTTTAGCACTTCACTTTTTTCACATGATTTTCCACTACTTGCTCAGTGATGGTTTCATCTTCTTCAATATTTTTTTTAACCTTCTGGCCCACCAGATCAAAGATGGATTCTGGGGGAAATCCCTTTGGCTCTCCCACCTTCACCGTCAGCATGTCAAGTGTCAATATTGAACCTTCAGGAATTGCCACTTTTGCCACGACTGACTTTCCCAGCTACAGGGGAAGAGAAAAAAAAAACAACCAATGTTTAAGTTAAATTCATTGCTAGCTTAGCATAACAAAAGAAAGGATAAAAAATATTCTGCAGTTATTTGAGAACAGGTTGTATAGAACTGCCTTCTCCATTACTTATTCCAAATGATGATTAATTTAGCACGGTTACTTTCACTGTAACCAGGCTGCCAGGAACATGCAGATGTTTTCTGAAACTGGACAGTGGCTTACTGTTTGTGATTCTTCAAAATCACAGTGGAGGGAATCTGATTAGAATGACTAGTATTTTACCTTAGTGTAAAAGCAGCTCATACACAATCAGAGATATTATTCCTATTACTATTGCCAAGTACCTGGTACTGGTGAGGCCACACCCCAAGTCCTGTCCATTTCTGAGCCCCTGACTACAAGAAGGATATTGAAGTGCTGGAGTGAATCCAGAGAAGGGTCATGAAGCTGGTGAAGGGTCTGGAGCAAGTCCTGTGAAGAGCAGCTGAGGGAACTGGGGTTGTTTAGGCTGGAGAAAAGGAGACTCAGAGGGGACCTTATCACTCTGCAACTCCATGAAAGGAGGCTGTAGTCAAGTAAGTGGGGGTTGGTTTCTTCCCCCAGGCAGTAACTGACAAGAGGAAATGGCCTCAAGTTGTGCCAGGGGAGGGTTAGACTGGACATTAGAAAAAATTTCTTCTCTAAGAGGGTTATTAAGCACTCAGACTGTCTAGAACATGGAAGTGGTTGAATCATGATCCTCAGAGTTATTTAAAACATGTAGATATGGCACTTAGGAACACACATTAGTGGTTGGACTTGGCAGTGTTAGGTTGGACTGAATGACCTCATGGGTCTTTTCCAACCTAAATGATTGCATGCTGTTACTCAACTTAGTTAACCACTGGATGATAAACACAGAATTCTATTATAATCAAAACAGCCAACACTGTGCAGTGTGAAATTTTTTAAATGTAGAGGCAGAAACACTACTGCAATAAACAATTAACAAGCTATTTCTCTGAATATCGAGTTATTAGCTTTAGGTCCAAATCAGCTGCAGGTTCACACAAACCAAAAAAAATCAGAAGTTACCTTTTCATTGCAAGCCATTTCACAGGGCAAGAGTTGTTTGATTGGAGAACCCATTGCTTTTTCCACAGTACGGATGGCTTTCACTAACTCTGCCAGCTCATTTGGCTCCAGAGATGCTTGGTGGTCACTTCCTTTCCATGTCTTGTCCAGAGTCACATGGCGCTCCAGTACTTTAGCACCCATAGCAACAGCTGCCACTGAAATGGCTATGCCAGTTTCGTGCCCCGAATAGCCAATGGGGATATCAGGAAAAGCTGACTGATATGCCTTGAATCATGACAGAGTTGGTCTGAATTACCAAGGTAGCAGTTTCAAAGACAAAGCAAATTTAACAGTGATAACTTCAGTGGACAAATACTGTGCCATAAAACAAGCAATTGGTTATGCAGAGAATGCAACGTTTTAAATTCAACAAGTCACACTGCATTAACAATCACCATATTCCAAATTTGACTAATATCAATACTGACAAGAAAAAGGAAGAACATTCTTTTCTGTAACTTATGTTTCTTCTTTTAATTCAGTTCTACTATTTAAAGCCTGTATCAGTGTAGTGTAACAGTAATAGTATCCTATTTTCATCCTATTTTCAGAACCCAGTGGATTGGTTAATCTGTAGCCAAAACAGATTTCTTCAACACTGTGTTTAAAATCTGAAGCAATCTTTAAAGACTGCATTCTCTATTCATGCATAGAGAACAGCCACCAAATCCTAAAGGCACTTAAAGGCAGCCATGTGCCATTCTATTAAAAATAATGTACTATGTGTGCACAGATCTAAGGTAGTGCTTGAACACTGGCCAGTTTGGAAAAACTTTCTTCCATCACTATTTGGTGTACCTAAGTAATATTTCAAATGAAGGAAACTATAGTAGGGTCTAATCAATTTTCTTCATTGCTCTGATAGACACATGCAGCTTTTTTAAAAAACTTTCTGGTCTAGAACCCTATCTTGAATTACGTTCTCACTTCATGCACCTTCTTAAC